CATGTCCCTCACTCCATTTTCCTTAATGCCAGGAGCTTACAACACCATTGCACATTTGTCAAAATTAATAAGTCAACATCGGTGCATCACTGTTAATTACATTTTAGAGTTTAGCTAGCACCAGCTGTCCCACTGCACATGGGGCCTGCACTATCTTTACTCACCACAGCTCCTGACTCTCCCAGGGTCTAATGACAAGCATTTCATATTGCCTCATTTTTTTATGACCTGGAGTTTTGCAGTATAGTCATCAGGGGTTCTGAAAGGCACATACTATTTTTAATCTTATTTAACAGTAGAGGAACCTGAGACAGAGAGCTTACTCCAGGGTACATAACTAATAAGCACAGGGTGTGATTAGAACGAGGGATCTTGCCCTGAGTCCCTGATGGGGACCCGCCGCTCAGGGGAGGCACAGGCTGCACGTGGCCCCACGCTCAGCACCAGGGCAGCTGGGGGCCAGTGACTGGGCGGGTTAATGGGTGTCGCGACAGCCACTCTGAAGAGCTCAGCCTTGACTCAGTAAAAACGAGAATCTGGACTCCTTCTAGAGCTCTGAGCAATTCAGTTTGACTCATGTTTGCAGAGGATGAGAAATCTGGTCTGCGGAGAGAGGGAGAGGCCAGGAATTCTTGACTCTGGATTGACGAGGGACTGGGGCAGGGTGGGGAGGTGGTGAGCAGCATCTTGAATGAATGGTCAGTGAGATGAAAATGGACTAGATGCCAGGAACAATTCAAAAGAAAATGAAATGATTTTCTACTTACTCCATTATCAAGGATAAGCAGTTATTAACTTTAAGAACAGTTTTTTTAAACCTCGAACTATATTACTGACACTCATCAGAAATATGCACTTTGGTTGCCAAACATTCTGCATTTCAGTGCAAGTTAAGTGGACCCAACCATTGTTTTTCCTGTGGTAGCGTTACTAATCTGTATTGAAATTCTGACTTAAAAAAATAAAAAGTTGTTTACAATAGTTAAGATATGGAAACAATGTAAGTTTAGATGAATGGATGAATAGATGGACATGTGGCATACACTTGTAGTGGAATATTATTCAGCCATAAAAAGGGACAATATGGATGAACCTTGAAGCCATCATGTTAAGTGAAATGAATCAGAGGAAAGAGACAAGTGCTCTTATCACCTCACTTATCACACTCATAGAACAAAGAGCAGAGCAGACTGGTGGTTGCAAGAGGCAGAGTATAGAATGTGAGAAAATGGGTGACAGTGGTTAAAAAGTCCACATTTCTAACTGCAAGATAAAGAAGTTCTGGGGAATGTAATGTACATCAAGGTTAACAGTACTATACTATGTCTTAAAAATTCCCACCACATGGGAATGCAAACTAGTACAACCACTATGGAAAACTGTTGGAGGTTCCTCAAACTGCTAAACATGGAGCTTCCCTATGACCCAGCAATCCCACTCCTAGGTATCTACCCAAAAGACACAAAAACACTGATTGAAAAAGATACTTGTACCCCCATGTTTATTGCTGCTTTATTTACAATTGGAAAAACATGGAAGCAGCCCAAATGCCCAAAAGTAGATGACTGGATTAGAAAGATGTGGTACATATATACAATGGAATATTACTCAGCAACCAAAAAAGAGAAACACATGTCTTTGGCAGCAACTTGGATGGAGCTGGAAAAGATCATGCTTAGTTAGATAAGCCAGAAAGAGAAAGAAAAATACCGGATGGTTTCACTCATAGCAGGAGTATAATGGACCAGGCGAGAAAATAACAAAAATAATGAACAACCATAGACCAGAGACATTCTGTGGGGGTGGAGTGGGGAATGGGATCAAAAACGGGGGGGGGGAAGGGAGGGAAATGCATGGGACTATGGTGGTGGCACAGGGGTGATTTGGTGATGGGAAACCCGTGGGGATTACAATTGAGATGAAAAAAAAAATGTGAAAAATGATGTAAAAATAAACTTTTTAATAAAAAAAAAAAAAGAAAAAAAAATTCCCACCACAAGTAAAATAGTTATGTCCACGTGAGGAACTGTACTTATTGTGGTATTCATTTCATATTATTTAATGTAGAAAGTCACTATTCTGCACACCTTAAACTAACACAATAGCATATGTAAATCATAGCAATAAAATTGCGAGAAAAAGAGGGGTAAATCAAAACACTTAATGCACAGGGAAAGTGCTTTTGGAAGGGACTGATGAGATGAAATTGGAAGGTAAGACTTATTCCAGGCATTTGGAGCTATACCCATGAGCTTGATCACCATATCTCTGGATTTAAGATAGATACTTGCAAAAAACTTAACACTCAGGTTTTGCTAAAATTGACTTAAGACAGAAGACCTTGAGCCTGAAGATTTGATGGTTAAATTTGACTGCAGCTAATGAGACTGTGGTTGACAACTACATTAAGAAAAACTAATTGTTGAGTTGGTTCTATTTGTTTTGATGGGGAAGAAAAGAGACAATTTGTTTACCTTAGAAATGTAAACACTTTTGTTAATGAGAATGTAAACTGGAAGAGACACTGTGGAAAACAATATGGAGAGTCCTCAGAAAATTTAGAACAGATCACATTTCACTTCTGGGCACTTTTCAGAATAATATTAAAATGCTAAGTTGAAAAGATATGTGTCTCTATGTTTATTGCAGCGTCATTTTCAATAGTCAAGATTTGGAACAAAGGGATAAAGAATATACATATATACATTTACACACATACAATACACATGCATATAAACATACACCTATATAGCATACATGTATATACAAATGAGCACATATACAATGGAATACTACTCAGTCATAAAAATGAAGAAGTCTTACATTTATGATATTATGGCTAGATTTTAATAGTATAATGCTAGAGGGAATAAACTAGACAGAGAAAGGCAAATACTGTATGGTATCTTTCATATATGGAAGATAAAAAGAAAACAAACAGAAAACAAACTAAAGCAAATTGTTAGGTCATCAGAACAAAATGGTGGTTGCCAGAGGGAAGGGGGAGGTAGGGAGTAGGTAACTTGGTGAAAGGAGTGAGTTTTGAAGTAGTGGATGGGAACTAGATTTTTGGTGGTGTACATGATGGAGCACACACAGGTAGTGAGTTATGCTATACACTGAAGACCTCTGTCATGTTACAAGCTAACATTACTACAATAAAAATTTAAAAATATACAAGCAGTTTTTCCCAGATGCATTGTACCCATTCATTTTGTCTTAAACTGCAATCACTGCAGAGAAAGCTGAGTTACTGTAGACACCAGTACACAATTTGGAGGCCAGTAGGGGACACTGTCATGGCATCCACTTTCCCCAGGATAAGGAGAGCCACGAGGAAGCACCTTTCTCTCTGTGTATTGCTGGGTGCAGAGGGAGCGAGTGCTTTGATGTAGTGGGAAGAGGGACTTTGGATTCGGGCAGTTCTTAAGTTTAATCCCATGTTGCCCTGGCAAAGCCAGGACTAGAATTCACCTTAAAAAAAAAAACACAAGCCGAAGATCTTGAATGCCTACACAGTGGCAGCAAGAGGACACTGAAAATTAGGTTTGGCCTTAAAGATAAAATCTGTCTCCCCTTGCAAGTAAGTGTGAAGACATGAAATTGCTTTAGACTGAAAGCGCGACGTTGAATCCGCAAGCATCTTCTGTTGATCCTCCAATCCTCTCTGATTTACATCAATATATTTGTGACCAGAATGAAGGAATGAACAAACTATTATTTCAAAAAGCCATTTGGAAAAAATATGTTTTTCTAGAAGAAGGGGTGAGAACACTTGGAGCCACTGTGTGGATTCTGGGGACACCTTGGGCCACTTTGTCCTCACAAAGCTCCTGAGATGGACACACACAGTGGGCGGTGCCATTTCCACTCCTGGAACCAGGAAAGCCGGGCTGAGAGGAACAGGCCTCAGGTGCAGGAAGCATGAGAACATACACAACCAGACAACCCCTGGACGCTTTCTGCAGATACTTGGATTTTTCCAAGATAAATAGGGAGGTGATTGAATGGGCACCATCAAAGTTTTGTTCTAAGAGCAACTGTGTGTTTTGCTTCCAGAATGTGTGGCAATTTCTGGTGTACTGTCCAGCATTTTGCTACTTTCAGTGACATGGCATAGTTATGGCTCATGTGAATCAAACCTCAGTTGAAGGAGCATGGAGTGCTTAATCAATGCTAATATTCATTTTCTGGGCCCCTTGATGGCCTATGGGTAAGCCTCAGCGCTCTTACCACTAGGGTCTGAGTTTGATCCCCAGCTAAGGAAGTGATACACATGGCGCAGCAGACCTCTCCTGTCTGATTCACAGCTCCTCTCAGCAGTGTATTTCAGTGGCTCCACCTGTTCTGTTCCCCACTCTGTCTCTGGTGAATCCTTTCACCCCCCTGCACCTTGTACCTCTGACCCCAGTTCTTCTATGCAAAAATAAATAAATAAAACTAATTTTCCAGGAAGATAGTGGTCACCAGGAAATGAATTATAGATATAGAATTATACTATATAGAATTATAAACACACAAACCTACACATGCAGCTATTTATCAGGTGTATATACATGTATATGAATATATATACACAGACTTCCCAACACTGCATTCCTCTTGTTCTTGGAATTTCATAGATGACTATGACAAAGGGAGTCAGAATTATTTCTATACCCAGCAAAATGATGAATATGTTTTGTCAACAAAGAGAAATCAATTTTAGGGGAGCAGACATTAAAATAAGTAAGACTTTTAAAAAATCCATTATCTGGTCTCTAGATGTTGCACAGCGCTTGGCATCGTGAGCGTCTTCAAAAAATATCAATTGAATAAAAAAACCCAACAATGGCCTAATGGAGTCTTCACTTCTTAACCCAGTGCCAGTATCTAGTTTTTCTGCTTCTGCCAGGAGAGCACTTATTCTGCTGGGGCACATCCGGGCACTATTCAGGTGTAGGTAGGCCAAGAAGGAAACCCAAGAAGAAGGACTCGCAGGCCAGATTTGCTAAGCCAGAATGAAGTTTATTAATGAATAGTCAGAGCGGCTCTTTACCAAAGAGCAGTGAAATCACTTGAAAGACAGAAAGAAGTGCTCCCACTCCACCCACAGCAGGACAGGAGGACCAGGTTGGCCACGGTCATGGAAACATGGCCCTGGGGACCGGGATGGATTTAGCTGGAAGCAGGCAGCAGCACACAGAAGGCTGGGCGCACAGGGCCTTGGCCGCCACACTCAGCGCCTGCGGTCAGGACGCCTAGCAGCAGGGCTCACAGGGACTCTGGCAGCCGGGCTGCACGTAGGTGGTCAGGTTGATCCCGTTCATTCCGGGGGTGGGGTAGGAAGAGTTGAGCAGCCAGCAGCTGGCCACATAGGTGTCGGGCTCGCAGCAGGGTGGGGGGCAGGTGTCACAGCAGGTGGGCTGGAGGAGGCTGATCTCGTGAGGGCAGGTGCTGGGCAGGCAGACGCCGCAGCGGCAACACTTGTCGGAGGAGCAGATGGTGGTGGCCGGGCCGGTGGGGACACTGCAGCAGCAGCGGGGAGCACAGCAGCAAGACATGGCGGTAGGAGTGGGGTGTTGGTTGGACTGAGGAGAGAAGGTTCTCGGTGTGTCTGTGCTTCTCTCTTCTGCTCTGGCTCTTATATACCCACCTCCCAGGGCGTCGGCCTATTACCAAGTATTTCCCCCATGTTTCAGTTTATAACTATCTCCATAAAAACCGTCTAATTACTTAAGTGTTTATTACCTAAGACACACTCCTTACCTCATAAAAAGGGTTCAGGCTTCTTTGTTGTCCAATTGGGTCTCCTCGTGTTGGCTGTTTGTCACTGCACGGAGAGCTTCTTTGCAGCCTTCAAAGGCATGGAGCAATTACCTTCCGATCATTACACATCGGCCACGAGGGCCTGGCATTCGCGGTATCTGCAAACGTCCTTGTGTTTGTTGGACTTTCCAGTGGAAGAGATAAGAAGCTGGCAGATGGCTGCTTTTCCAGTAAGGAACCAAAGGATCTTTGTGATAATTCAGAATTTCTGATTGCAAGAGGGCTACAGTTTTTAGTTTGTCTTTTTGTGGTTCCAAGAAAGTGAATTAAGAAGAATGGATGGAACCTCTAGAGAGATTTTGCTTTCGTAGAAAGAAGCACTGTCTTACAGAAGTCCCTTCATTCTTGCTCTGGACCGTAACTTGTGTGGGGGGCTGGAAGCAGGAATTAAGACCTGTCTGGACGACAGCCAGGGATGCCCTGAACAGTGGCCAACCACATCATGAGTTAAGATTACATAGGACTCTCTGTGTCAGACCATTTAGAGACTGAAGGGTATAGTGGTTCCCCCAGTGAGTTCCACAGACCCTTGTTCAAGGAATATTAGGGGATTGTCTGGTAAGTAAATCTGGGAAATACTGAGTTCATTATTGGTCCATCTCTTGGAACGTTTAATCAATGAAAGTGCTGCATGGCTTTACAGTGAAGAGGTAGATTAGCAAGTGTGTTAGGCTCCACACTTCCTTGGCTGTGGAAACATTTTTGTTAGCTTTCAGAGGTCAGTATTCTGTAACGTACACTCCGAGAGGTTCCCACACTGCATGTAACCCCTAACGATAAATTAATTAAATATTTAAAGGCACAAAATGGATTTTGTGTGCTGCTTCAGAATACATATAAAAATATTCAACCAGTAAACTTTAAAAATGTATCATTTTAAAGTCTTTGAAAACTGTGCATATTTGCTTGACTCATCTTTACATATAATGACTCAGGATCTAAAAATAAGCAGAAAATTGCACAAATAAGGGAGTCAGAAGCCAAAAGAAATGCCCATCAATAACATAATGGATCCAGAAGATGCTTAAGGTTAAAACTGCTTTTGCTGGAGCTGGCTCACGACGATGGTTTTGCAGTCTGGATCCCTCTGCCAGAATTTGCTCATTGGCAACTTTGCTTTGGCAGACGCCAGTAATTCAGCCCAATACTCTGGCTGAACACCTTTTTGTCAGGCACTAAGCAACGTGGGAGAAAATTGGCTCTTGTCCTCGGAGAGGTCACAGAGAAGAAGAGACACAGAGAACTATACCGGGAGATGACCAGCCAGGGCTGCCCACCCAGATAAATATGAGAGTGGAGAGGCAGGAGCTGCAGACTTGCCCTGAAAGATTAGGGGGGGGGGCATTTCATGAAACTGGTGGGTCTTTAACGATGAGTATGAGCTTGGGGTGTAGACAGGACCAAGAAGGGAAGCAAGGGAAGCAAGTGAAGCTCCAAAAAAAATCGTGTAGTGCATCCATGCAATGGATGAAAATAGGGATTGTTTAAAGAGGCACCGATTCTGGGCGGCCTATGGGAGGCTTGGGAGGAGGGTGAGCAGAGACGAAGGGGGGAGGGTAGGTTACTGCCACACTAGGAAAAATTTATATGGTGCTTGCAATCCTACTTTGAGAATTGAAGTTCCCTTTGAACTTCATCTTGTTCGGTGCGCGGTGATTAAATGGTGTTCAATAAACTTGTGACATGATCGGTTCTGTGTTTTAGAAAGAGGACCGGAGATGACCATTCTTGAGTAAAGTCTCATCACCATCATCGACATTTACTAGTATTACGCCCCATCCTGAGTGATTTATATGCATTACACAACTATCACCACAATGGATGATGGCTGCATATGTGACTCTCCCAGCCATTTGCAGACAAGAAGCCGGAGGTGCAAAGAGGTTGAAGAAGTGAGTAAGGGATGGAGCTGGCATTTGAGGCCGTGCAGCCTGGCTCCACAGTCTGCGCACTTAACCTCTCTGGTCTATTCCCTTTCACCACCAGGGGCTTGTTCTGATTAGAGTGAAATTGACCCTCCAGTTCAGTTGTGTGCAAGGTTGGTGGGAAGGAAGTGGCCATGCTACTGAAGGCCCAGGAAGGGAGTTGATGTAGATCTTATTTTCTTGACCATAGTATTTTGCAGAAAGAGGAGAACTGGCAGGCAGGAAGGATGGTTGAGAAGCTAGTTGGGGTTTCTACTGGAGTGCTGAGGAGGCCCGGACCTCTATCCTGGATGGTATTATATTCCGCAGGAATAGAGAAGAGGGGACATGTGGGATTTCTCATCACATCATTCAGCTTCTCAGGGACCCCGATGGCATGGCATATCATTTCCTACAGTATTCCTGTTTCTAAGATAACTAGACTGTGGTAATCTCCTCCTCCAGCCCAGCATTTGAGTGCACCTCATGTGCCAAGCACCGTGCTTGTGTTTTTTTTTTATTTTTTTATTTTTTATTTACTTATGCAGACAGAACTGGGGTGCAGGCCAGAGGTGCAGGGGCGGTGAGAAGAATCACCAGAAACAGAGTGGGGAGCAGAACAGGCAGCTTGACAAAGTACACTGCTGAGGGGAGCAACGGGCGGGTCAGGAGAGGTCTGACGCGCCATGTTGGTCACTCCCTGGCTGGGGATCGAACTCATGCTGAAGTGGTTTCAGAGAGCTCCATAATGTGGTGCTTTAACCCATTGCACCACTGGGGAGAGACCAGCGCTAAGAGTTTTGAGTATATGTCCTTTATTTCTTGTAATCATACATTCTACGATATGCCCATCCCCTGGATGGTAAAGCAGAGAGCAAAGATATTAATTAAATAATGATTTTAAAGCCATCAGGCTTGTAAATGCTGGCTCACAATCAATACCTTACACTTAAAAGGCCAGCATTTTAATGGAAATAAATTCTTGAAAATTATACATTGTGTTTATTTAGTTTTTTCATTTGTTCTACAAAATGCTTAGTGCTAGGCTAGGTGCAAGCATATTTCAATAACTGTTCAGATAAAGTTCTTGTTGTCAACGTGTTCAGTCTACTGGTGGAGACAGACAATAAAAATTAAGCAGAGGGGTAAATGAGAAATTCAGACAGTGCCAAGTGACAAAATAAAATGGGGAGTGACTGGGAGGTGGATTTGGCGCATGCCAGCTATGGGTTGGGGGTCAGGGACAGTCTTTGGCAGGGGGGTGGAGTGTGTATGGCAGCCGAGGTGAAGGGGGAAGACAGGTGCCAGGCTATAGGATTTTGCAGGTTGTTCTACAGAGTTTAGATATCCCAAGGGCATCGGGCATCCACTGGATGATTTATAATAAGGAGTGATGTGAGCTGCGTTCTATAGAGGAGGAATGACAGCGAGGCTCCAGAGGACACAGAAGAAAAGTCGGTGGTCCAGGTGGGAGGAGGGGAAGAGTGCCCACGGCTGGTGAGCTGGTACAGACATGCTAGATTTTTGGGAGATGCTTTTGTGGAGCTGGCAGGCTAAGCTAGTCAAGGGAGGCCTCGGGTTTCAGATTTACTCAGGGTCCAGAGGATCTGAGCCCCAAAGCTGGCATTTGGGGTGTGAGGGTAGGGAGTTGATGATGGGTTCAGTGTGGGGCCGGTGGAGAACCGGCTGTCGGGAGCAGGAGGTGAAGACCTGGGAGGCTCCAACACGAAGATGAAAAATGTGCTTACGACCAAGTTCCTGGACTGAAATCACTTTATGTGTGTTAGTCACAGCAAGCCTGGATGTGCCTCCCCAGGCATCTCCCAGTGACTCCACAGATTCCCTGGCTGGCCATCGCGAATCCCTCCCATGATGGCGCTGCCCGAGTCAGCAGGAACGGCAGTCCTGGGAGCTTGAGGACTCAAGGCTGACGATTCAATTTTCTTTAAGCCTGACGGAGCCTTCATCCCTTCACCAGAGCAGGATATAAAAACCTGTGCATGGGGTCATCCTAGTAAAAATGCCAGTAAGTAAAAATAGTTGGCCTTTATTTTTATTTCCTGGATTGCACGATCTTTTCCGTTTCTGGTGAATTCTTTTATAATAGAGATTGGAAGAATGTCTGACATCAGGACCGCAGTTGACATCAATCTTCCCAGAGCACAATGTCCACGTCGCTCTGCTGAGCACCCAGCCAAGGGATTCGCATTTGGGTTAATGGTGGACTTTGGGGACTTTTCCCAGTTGCATCAGAAGGATCTTCCAGTGTGTGGTTATAGTTAAGACTTGTGTAACTTACATCCACTCATCAGCTTGCCCTGAAGATTACTCTTTCCGTGGATTCTTGCACCTGGAAGTCATTGTGTTTTTTGTTTGCAGACACTGTAGGTGTAGAGGCTCATTCTGCTGCTCGTCTCACATATGGCCACAGATGCTGTCATGGATGTGCCTGCGTGGACCTTGCTCAGTCCCACTCTGGAGGAAACATGGACAGGTGGTTCTTAGCCGGGCTTCTGCTGACTGGAAGTGTTGCCTATTTTTCTTGAGGATCCTAAACTTTCGGTTTAATTCCCAGATATGACCGACATACGATTGTAGGCTGTAAAGCAAGCAGATAGCAACAGGGAATTATACACAGTGTAGTCAGGAATAAATTAACTAAAATTAACCTGCCTTGAAAATGTACAAAATGGAATACATGATATAGGTCAGATGCTGAGAAATTAAATTTTCAGTTGTTTACTTTGGAAAATCTAAAAGGAAATATTCAGTCTTATAATTATTCTATAGTAGTCTTTGGGGGGTTTTTATGCTTTGGATTTTTGCTAACAGAGTAAAAACTATACTCAAAAGCAGCACAGCTGTTGTTTGG